CCCAATGCCTGGGGTGGGTCTTTGTCAAATCATAGTATGGGGCCTTGTGATGTCACAGGAATTGGGAACATAATATTTCTCCATGCATGTGTGAGGAAGTGAGCTAGGCATTGTGGGTTCCCTGAGCTACTAAGCAAGTATATTATGTGTTGTGTTGGACAGACACAGGAAGCCAATGAGTCCTGGTGCCATTCGGAGAGGGTTGGAGTTGGATACCCAAACACTATGGCCACCCTGTAACAATAAACGAGACTCGCTCCTTCCCTTCCACCACGGCTCCTCACATCTGTTTGCCTGGCCTGGAGATTCAGGGGAGCCCAGCCATTTCTCTGCAAGGAGCTGTTGATGGACAGCTCCTTGCAGAGTACAAGTGAGGAGAAAATACACCACTTCAAAGAAGCTTCCAGTCCAGCCTCTCACGTCAGTGCCACAACTGAGGAAATGGAGGTGGGCAAAGATTTGGAGATGAACATACAGTAAAAATTCATGTGGATCCATGCCATGGATAGGTGGCAAAAATACACTGGTACTGCCAAATCTGCTGCTTGATGGCAGTGGGTGCCTCTGAGCGTATAGGTACAGTAGGACTCCTATATCTGCATATCTTTAAAACATTCTATGATTCATTTAATGCTAAAATTACAAGGTCAAAGGAATTGTGCAAGAAAAAATAGCAAAACAATCAAAAGGCAACTTGAAGGAAAACATGGCTTTTCCTATTGTAAACTATACATTCTTTTAAAGTTGAATCTACTAATTGTTTGAGACATGTCTGCATGTTTGCCAGCATCTTTGATTTCCAAATGTGCTGAATTAATTGTTTTATGCTAATGAGAAATGTTCTACAGACATTGGTCCTCTGTGGAACAACAAAAGGCCAATTAAGAATGTCTGTATATGAACAAGTAAAGACCATTTCACGGGTCCAACATTACAACACAAACAGTATGTACACAAACATGCATTCTAATGACAGAGATTCATACACTAGAGCTGTAACTGGCTGTGACACAGTTTCTATGTATTTCTGTGGCTAAAATTAATTTGGGTGTGTGTGTTTATTACTTTATTTTATTTCATTTTATTTTTTTATTATTATTTTACTGCCCCATAGTGAACAGGCTCCCTCTTGGCAGAGTAACACCACTATAGCCAAGACAGTGGCAAACGTGATGATGATGTAAACCAAGAAATGATTCTTGCTAGCTAAGACAAAATTTTCTTCTAGCAATGCAGAAAGTTACTGCGCCCCCCCCCCCCCCGAGTAATCGCAAGGTAGTAAAAGACATTCACTGTGATGATCCTTTCAGAGAACAGAATACATCCAAAAGAAAAAGACATATCCATGGCTAAGGGCCGTGACAGCTAACAAAACCTCCATGTATTGTTCAGAAGCAATATATTCTGAATAAAACATGAAAGGGGTTTGGAGAAACAGCTATAGGTATGGCTGCTGCCATTGCATTTTGCTTCTGATTTTCCTAGAGGTATTTGGCATCGTACTACTGGAAATAAGAGCCAGAGTGAGGTTTTCTCACTTCCGCTCTGAACGTCTTTGGCGACTGAGTAGCAGTGGGCACTGGCGTCAGGCAAATGTGGTAAAACAGATTGAATCTGTATGATCCCAGGGCAAATTCGGGGCACCAAGAGCTACTAGTGGCCAGTGTCATGGTGCAATGTTTTCACAGATCCTTCTATGGGCTAAACCGCAGAAGCCTGTGCTGCAGGGTCAGAAGACCAGCAGTCATAAGATTCAATCCATGCGACGGAGTGAGCTCCCGTCACTTTGCCCCAGCTCCTTGCCAACCTAGCAGTTCGAAAGCATGCAAATGCGAATAGATAAATAGGTACCACCTCAGTGGGAAGGTAAAATGGCATTCCCTAGTCATGCTGGCCACGTGGCAACGGAAACTGTCTTCGGACAAGCGCTGGCTCTACGGCTTGAAAACGGGGATGAGCACCGCCCCCTAGAGTTGAACACGACTGGACTAAAAATGTCAAGGGGAACCTTTACCTTTTACCTTGTGAAAACACCCAAAAATTTGAACACAGGAAACCAAAAGGATGAGGTGTTTGCACAAAAACAGAAAGAGTGACAGCTGAACTCCCTAATAAATCCCACGATCTGCCCTGGAGACTGAGGCGTCTGTAGCGGGCCATTCTGCCAGGCATTTGTAGGGTGAAGTGAAGGATTTACATTGCCATTGCTAGTTATGATCCATGCTGTAGAATTTCCTCTTTTTTCTCATTTACCTAGCTCAATTTGCTAAACAGAACTGAGTGCATGGAATGGGGAGGAATGTTTGGTTTCCTCTTGAATGTGATTTGATTTGCTAGGTCAGAATTAGTACACCAGAGACTTTCCTTCTTCCCCTGTTTTTGGGGTGGTGCAAATCCCACTGCTTGCTGACCTTTGGGCAGTTGCCAGAAAGATACTGGTGGGCAGAAGAAGAAAAAACCTCTCTACAGGATCACTGAAATGAATGATCCCATATTGCACTCTCTATAAACAGATAAAATACATCAGGAACCTGGTCAAGGGTGCCAGTGGAAGTGTACACGGGAGGTTGTGCCCTTATTCAGACACAGATCAGATCAAATCCCTAATTTGGCGATTCTATCTCTATCGCTGTCTGTCTGTCTGTCTGTCTGTCTTCTGTCTGTCTTCATCAATAGATAGCAAAAATGCTCTCCTTTGCAGCTTTAGAGAAAAAAACTATGTATTTAGTACAAAACACATATTCAACAATCAAAATAATTCTGCTTGCATCTTGCAGTGTATTTCTATCCATCCTCCTGTTCTTGATTTTCTTTTCGTCTTTCCCTGATCAGCAATGTCAAGTAATCAAGGATGTGAAACAGAAGTGTAGTGCCACTACAACTTAAGACAGTTAGGCATGCATTAATAAGATGGGTGCCTCACAAGGTGAGATAGGGAAGAATAACAAGATGATATGGAGTGATCAAAAAGTCCATGTCTGGAAGTCTTTCATGACCTCTTGAGATAAGATCAATAAGAAGCCACATTTAATCAAACTGCACTTGCTAGGGAGGATGCATTCAGATGAATTTCAATATGTTAAAGAAGCTTTGCCATACCTTTTGAAGAGCCACATTTAATCAAACTGCACTTGCTAAGGAGGATGCATTCAGATGAATTTCAATATTGTGTTTTGTTAAAGAAGCTTTGCCATACCTTTTGAATTTGAGACATACGGAAGAATATACAACTGATTTGGTGCATAAGCTAATTGCAGATATTCCCTGTATAACACATGCTGCATAATAAAGAGGAAAGAAATATTCTCAAGTCTTTATCTTGATTTGTGTCAATATCAAACTTAACTCCCAGTTCAGACATACAGAATCCCTCTGCATTCAGCATCTCATGGCCATGTGGGGGGGAAAATGAGCTTGTTTAACACTGCTGACAGGTGCCACTAACATTCACTCACCACATTTATACAATCTGTCTCAGGTCACAGGGTGCCAGATAGAAGGGACGTGGTGGCGCTGCGGGCTAAACCGCAGAACCCTGTGCTGCAGGGTCAGAAGACCAGTAGTCATAAGATCGAATCCACGCAACGGAGTGAGCGCCCGTCGCTTGTCCCAGCTCCCGCCAACCTAGCGGTTCGAAAGCATGCAAATGCAAGTAGATCAATAGGGACCACCTCGGCGAGAAGGTAACAGCGTTCCGTGTCTAAGTCGCACTGGCCATGTGACCACGGAAGATTGTCTTCGGATAAAACGCTGGCTCTATGGCTTGGAAACGGAGATGAGCACCGCCCCCTAGAGTCGAACATGACTGGACAAAAATTGTCAAGGGGAACCTTTACCTTTACCTTTACCTCAGGTCACACATTCCTTCTGTAAATGGTTGCACCTACCAAAATTCTCCATGTGGAGGTTTTTAGGGCATCTGAAAAGCCCAGAGTGAGAAACCTCCAGTTCTGGTTTGCAGGCAGCCCTTGACATCATGGTTTTGACTTTGTTTCTGCTCAT